TACTATAAATCATTTCATTACATATTTTATCCTAATTGTTATATTTAAACTACTATTCAAATGTGTTTTTTTTTAAAATTGTATTTTTACTCAAATTACATTCATAATGTTACAAAATATGGTAACACTAACACTTTGTCACTTTATACATTCTACCAACTATAAGTTTGCAGCTACATGTCAACCAACTCTCATTAGAGTATTAGTAAACTGTCTGCTTAATATCTGATAACCCCAACAGACATTCTACTGACTATAAGTCAACTTGTTTTCCTAACCAGAACCCTAACAGCTCTACCATAACCTAACAGTCTACTGAAAGGTTACTACAGTCTACTAATACTCTAATGTGTTAATTGACATTTAGTTGGAAAGTTACTTATAGTTAGTTGAATGTCTAAAGTGGACTATCGAAATAAAGTGTAACCCAAAATATATTTATATTTCAAATAAATTGCTGTTCTTTTAGAAGGCACAACTGTTTTCAACATGAATAATAATAAGAAATGTTTCTTGAGCACCTAATTCGCAAATTAGGATGACTCTGAAAATTCATTTTATTCAAATAGAAAACAGTTGTTTTAAATTGTAATAATATTTCACAATATTACTGTTTTTTCTTCTATTTTTTGCAGTATTACAAATGTAGCCTTGGTGAGCACAAAATACTTATTTAAAAACAATAAAACAGTCTTACTGCCCCCAAACCTTTGAACAGTATTAATATTAAATATTTGAACATTTAATATTTTGTTCAGTTGTATGTTATTAAAAATTGGTGCTGTGTTGTGTGGAGTTTAACATATTGGTATTACTTGGACATAAAGCAGCAGCAGGCTAGCAACTTTTGTCGGGACTGTTTAAATGATATGTGACCATATAGATGAGTAAAGTCCCTAAGTTCATTATCACAGTATTACATGACTTCACTTGAGTTGAACCATCACATCCTCACAGGAACTGCGCTAAAAACATCCATGTTCTGCTGAGTCAAGCAGATGACCTTGTTGAAAGAGGCTTTGTCCTCCATATTGATTGAAAGGCTGCTTTTGGCATAAGTCCACCCTCACAGTTTTTCTTCCCTTCAGTAAGTGAGAACAAGCCTTCAGATGTCTCACACGACACATATATGTTCACTGCCATGTTTTAATGTCACATTTTGCTGGTGGAGCGAGTAATGTGGAGTCTATTTTTGCTAAAACTCTCAAGACTGGCATGTTCTGAAATTCAAGGAATGCCAGGAATGCCAGTCCGCCTTCCTGACCTAGCAAGAAAAGAGCTTAACTTTCCTCTCGCTTTCTCTTAGTCAGTGTCTCTCCAAAAGCCTATAGTATACCAAGCTATTTTGAGACTAGTTTTTCTCAAATTTGTTGACATCACCATTGCCATGACGTCACTCCCCACAGAGTAACTAGAGATTGCTTCGCCCTCTCCAAAACCATTTCCATCCATCCTAGTGATGTCATCAGAATAAGGCAGCTCACGATCACACCACATCTTGAATCCATAAGCTTTCCCATCAAATCGCTCACCTATTTTAGATGATCATTTGTGTTCGAATTTGCTTGCTCCTTGATTGAATTCCATTGTCAGGGTGACTCATGGCTTAGTCATTCGGTTGGCTTAAGTTACATCCTTTCATGGTCAACACTGAACTCAGCTGAGGACACTACAGGGGCGGGTGGGTCAACAGGGTCAATAGGGTAAGATGTATTTATTCGTATTCATTCTCCCTTCAAAACTGGTTATTTTGTCCAACATTTTAGTCAGTGTCTTGCTTCATATTTACTTGGTTTGACAACACAGATTAGGCACTTTGCCAGACTGGTTCCAGCTGCTGCATTAGGACTCGGATAGACGTTTTTCATGTACACCTCATAATTTTACCTTGTTTGCTGAATGTGTATCCTTGGCAGACCTCAGCCATGGAGTGATTCCATGCAAGCCCCACCCTGGAGAGTGTTTGCTTACTGAAGTCTTGAGGACTGAGTAACTCTACCTCCCTCTCGGCGCCTCTGGATGACGTGCAGCAGGCCTTTGTTTGTGTGCGCATGTTGGGACTATAGGCAACTTGTCGCATCCCCTTGTATCGTTTACAGGCTGCTGTCACGGTGGCGCAGATCACTCACCGTGTGCCTGGCACGAGGTCTTGTTATATACAACTGGGAATCAGTGCGGAGAGCAGCATGGTGCATGCAATCACAGATTTGCACGATTTTGCTCCCCACCAGGCTCATCTCTCAGTGTGAAACGTTCTCATCAATCCCATATCACGCTTTAATTTGCGTGATCCAGCATATCACCGTCAAGTGGTGTGAATTACTTCATTACTCCAAAGCAGGGTTGTAGACTCTAATAGAATTTCAAGCTGCGAGCTTTGGCTGTGGCATACGCAGCTGCAGTTTGAGGTGCGGAGAGCTTTTTGAACTGGAAAGAAGAACCGAAAATGATATGAGGCCATTTTGAGCTAGTCTGTGAAGGAGGAGGCAGAACTCAGTCATGCTCTTGTTTGGCGACTTTTGACCCTTGGCTCGCACTACGGAGACTTCATGGGCGAGTGCTTTCCCAGACTGCGGAGGTAGGCATGACCCAGTCTGTGTGGTCTTGATGTGCCTGGTATCAGTATAGTTGTGATTATCATTTTTTTTAGCACTGTTTATACTACGGTTATGGATGATACTTTTAAATTGTCCAGTTTGTTGAGAAGAAATGTTATTTTTTACTTGATACAAAGTGCTCTAAAATACCCCATAGATTTACCTTAGAAAGTGAAGTAGGAAACCTTGCCATATTTAGAAAACCAATACATAGGGATGCATGATGCATCAGATATTTTTTCTTTAAGTTTGATATTTTTTAAAAAGAAAGGAGTATTTTTATTCAGCAAGGAAATATTTAATGGATTAAAGGTTACAGTAAAGACATGTATAATGTTACAAAATATTTCTGTTTCAAATAAATACTTTTGAATGAATCCTAGAAAAAAATGCGTCAAGGTTTTCGCAAAACTTTGCAGTATTGGTAATTATAAGATATGTTTCTTGAGGACCCAAAGTGGCATATTGGAATGATTTCTGGAGGATCTTGATGTAGCTTTGGTGAGTTTAAGAGACAAAAATATTACAAAATAGTACCTACCCCAACCTTTTAAATGGCAGTCTATTTTAGATATATATGGGCTGATCGAGAATATCAATATTTCTTTTATATACTGTACATTATAATGTAGCATTTGTTTTATTTATTTAGACATAATAGTTTAAAAGTATAATATGATCCGTTTGTTGGTTATTGACCATTACATGAAAACTATAATTATTAATTTAGTATCAGTAATGTACAGAATTTTAATATCTCTCTTAATATACTCATACTCTACCAGATCATCAAAGAGGCTTGACCTGTTTTTATTTGACGTAAGCCCCTAGAAAACTACCAGAACACCATAGCAACCACCTAGTTTGGTTAGTGCTAATAATAGGTTGGGCCTCTCTGTCATGGGATACACCATCGTGTCCCTCTCATGAAGAGACAAGGCCACATGTTGAAGACGAGACTCCAGCTGCTTCAGGGGTCTTGAGCAGAGACGGAGCTAAACTGAACATTTGTTTGAGCTCCCTGCCACCCACACCCACACTGACCTATCTTTCCTATTCTCTTTAACTGGCCCCATTAAACACTTGTACCCACCCATCCCACCTACCCCAACCCCCTGACACCATTCAACGTGGTATGCACTTGTTGACGCACTGTCCTTTCAAAGCAAACAAGCCCCACCCTGCCACAGAGGAGATGTGGGCCACTCCGCTGCCTGCCATTTTCCACCCCCCCCCCCCCCTTCAGTGGTTCGTCCAAACCTTCCCTCCTCTCTCCACTACACTCGTTTAATCTTTAACCAGACTGCAGACCCTTCTGTTCCTTCTCACCGCCTCAGGGCTGGGAAGAGGGTACTCTCTCTCTCACAGGCCCGTGATTCTTGTGTTTTTGGGTTTCCGTAGTTCAGCCGGCTTCAGTGTGTGAGGAGTGAATGTGGACTTTGGATGAGGGTGTGTTTGGGCCCTTCTACTCTGATAACCCAACAATGTTTACAGTACCCCTTTGATCAGGCTGGGTGATCTCATATCCTGTGGTGATCCATGCCCCTCACCCCTTCCTCCACACTGCCACTGAAGAGGTTCACTTATTACATCTGAACCTTTCTTGCTGCTTTTAATGAATTTTATCCTCAATTTGAAACATTATTCAATCAGAATAGTGTGAATGATATTAGTGCTATATACATATTAAAATTCTACCTGATGCCTATTAACATATTATTTATATTTTCATGTTATGGTCGATAACTAATGGATTTAAAATTCTGTATTATTTTGTCTAAATAAAACATAATTTTAAATAATGAAGTAAATATTTAAAATATTATAAATAATCTTAAATAATTCAAATATTGTAAATATATTTGAATTATCTGTGCCATGTTGGTTATTGGCAAATAATTCTAAATAGTATTTAAAGTAATGAAAATAGTACTTTGAATATTTAAAAAAGACATTTAAAGTATTATTTTAAACAATTGGCTGATTCCAAGTGAATACAGGGCGACACAGTGATGCGACAGTTGTATTGTTATGATCTCAGAGGGTAAACCAAAGAGTCAGAGCCAAAGAAAATGAAGCGTGCCAGTGATGAATGTGTTGCTGGAAAGCAAAGTACGTTTTCCACTCGTCCTTTTTCACTCTGCCCGGACAGACTTCCACAGAGTCTGTCTTTGAGGCAGCTTTGGGTGTTCGGAGCCAAGAATGGGACTGGTGAGCCGAAAGTCACCCCAGCAGTGAGCGAACGCTTCATAGAGTCAGAAAATTAGCCTCAGTCCCAGCGGTGCTGTCTCAGGCTCGTCCGGCCATCCCAGCTTTCTCTCTCTCTCTGATAATGTGACACAGCCCATTTTGCTCAGTCCCAGTTTCCTAATGTTCTTTTTCCTCTCTGTTTCTCTCTTGAAGGTTTAGATGCCCCAGACACAGCTGGAGCGAGAAACCTCCTCCATCACGCAGTATCGTTGCCCTGAGTCCTCCGCCACCCTGTCCGTCATCTGGAGGGGAAAAAAAGTCAGCAGCGTGCAGGACCAAAAAAGGGGACTCTGTTTTTACCTAACAGTGCCTCTCATTTTGTGAAAGCAGCAGATTACCTCAGCAGTGTTCCTGCTTCAGAGTGCTTCCTGTGCCGAGGGGTGTGGTGTGGAGCAAAGCTTTCAGGGAGTGCGTGGAGGGGTAGGAACCCTCTACCTGTCATCCTGTGTCCTACCCTCTCTCTCTCCCTACAACACCATGACCACTGCGGTCCAGTCAAGCGAGCTTGTCTTTGAGTTCGCCAGCAATGGGATGGATGAAATCAATCAGGTACATCACTACCACATTTGCTGTTTTCTGTGTGAGAATATTCTGATCGGCCCTTCATCGTTGACCTGAAAGCACTGAAATATTTTGGCATTAGCATTATCTTTGTTATTACGGACGCAAACTTGGTTTCTCTGTTTAGGTACTCTATTCGTCTATCCAGCTGCACAGACTGGGTTTTAAAATGGGGACAAGGTTTTTCAAAGGTCTGTTTCTTTGATGCTGGGCATGAAGGGAAGGGAGGGAGGAAGGTGGAACTTTAAGAGTGCAAGGAGAGAGTTGGGAGATCACTCTGTGGGTTGCTGGCAGGGTTCAGATGGAAAGATTGAGATGTACGAATCGCCAGTCAGTCTGAACTCAGTGTGTTTCGTATATTCTTGTATGAAAACCTAGTTCAGAATGAAAGTTGCATTTCAGCTTCAGGACACTTAATTATGTTGCATAGAGTGGCCCCCAAAAATATTTGGACACTTAAGTCACACTTTTACGAATATTTGAATTTCATTGCATTTGATACGATATATCAAATCAAGTGGCTTCAGCAAAGATATGCTGCTATAGCTTTTTTCAGGACTAACCTTTCTGAGCAACTCTTTGTTATTTCAAGTTTACACAGGTGTCCTGGGATAAACATGTTCCACAAAGTTTGACAATGTCCAAGAAATATTGTCTTCGTTTTCATCCATTTTCACCACTAGTTTGGGGTCTGTAAGATTTTTTTAGTCTTATCTTTGATTCTCTTATGCTCACAGAGGCTGCACTTATTTGATCAAAATACAGTAAAAACTGTACATTTATAAAATGTAATTACAATTAAAAATAACTGTTTTATATGTTAAATATATTAAAAAAGTTTGATTTATGCAGAGACAGTAAAAGCCCTGTCACCCATTGGTCTGAAACAGGTTTTAGTAACAGCCAGCAAATTAGATTATTATGAGGATCTCAATCTGCGGTTTACGGTATAAGGAGTTAACAATGCGGATAAATATAATGTGGAGCCAACTCAGCCAAGCCATGTAAGTGCCACTTGGATTTTTTGTTACAGTTTCAAGTGTCGCTTAAGTGTTCAAATCCTTTTTGGGCCACTGTATGTGTGGATGGCTGCGTGCTTTTATACTGTTGTGTTTTAATTTGTCTACTCTCTCTGAGTTGAGATGACTCCAGAGTCATGATCTTAATCTTAAGCGTGTGTTTGTGCAGTCATGTGAATGGATCAGGTGTGACAGGCCTCTTCCCTTAAAGTCCCCGTGAACCGGAAGTTGCAAAAGATTTTTCTCCAGTGCTGTGACGTATTTCCAAGTGAAACGGAATATTGAACAGAGGGCAGGGTTTTACTCTAGCGCTCCTCCTCTCCATCTCTCGCTCATAGCAAACTAACGGTTTAAGGGGAGTGGTTAAGCGTTTCCCCACCCAAGTTGTGAAACCTACGTCATCAGAAAAAGAAACCGTTCCAGACCGGAAGTAACTTTTCAGATTTTGATTAAAGATTACGAAGGTAAAACATTTTTTAAATATATTTTTACTTGCACGGATTAATTGTTCACCACAAGACTAGTAATATGCGCTAACAAAGTAAATAGGTTCAATTTTGATTTCACGGGGACTTTAATGACTGAAAGAGAACTGAAATCTAGAATCAGGCCTAACCTGCCTAACTTGTTGCAGCGTGGGAGTAGAGTCCCGTTCCACCTAGAAATCTACGATTGTTTTTAAATGATGTTGGCTTTTTGGTCACTCCCTAAGTCCCCTCACTCTATTACAACACCCTCATAAATATGCTCTACCAGTCGCCCTAGAGTCTCAGATATCTTTTGACTCCCACTGCTAACAATAGAGGGGCTTTTTGGGGGACTGCACAAGATAACCCAAGACTCTTCTCACTGTGTATACTGGGTTTTCCACACATGGGTGCTGTGAAATATGTCCTGGAACATAATGATTAGCCGTGGTGGACTTTGCAGAGCCAAAAATTACCCCCATAAGTCAAGTTGTCGTGTAATGGGAAATGATATTAAGGCACCTTGTCAGACGCAGCAGCAGTTCTGTAAAAGATTCAGATCTCCAAAGTCACCTAATGCATTTACATGCACAATCTTACACTGATAATCACAGATTAGCCCGACAACAAAATGTTACAACCTCTTAAGTGCTGTAAAGTGTTTTAAGCAGAAAACAACTGGCACGAACTGGGATTTTTACCCATGACCTCATTTTCACTCTGCATGTAAACACCTTCACCAACATTCTGTTGACTTATTTAGTATGCGTATGTCTCATGTGCATGTCTGTTGATGTCAAAACAAAAGAATTTCTCGTATAAACAGTGTTTTCTTGCATCCTCAGGTTTTCAAATTAAGCTTTTTGCATGCAAGTTTACTTATTTCTTATACATTTTAGGGTTCAAGAGCATGTATTGGGCAAGTATCCACAGTGGGATAATAATTAGAGTTTGTGTAAATGACATTTTAAAGTTATTTTAATATTAATAATATTTATAAAAGGTTAATTTTACATTAAGGTATTTTTAAGTAAAATCATTACCTCTTAAATTATTTTAAAACCATAATGTATTGAGTGAGAGATAGCAAATATAGGAATCATATCAGTTATCTTAATTAGTTTAGTAAACAAAGACAACATTTTGTGTATAACAAAGTAAACTATAATTAATCAAACATCTCACTACTACTTGACATTATATAAACGAGCCCTCAATGAAGTCACTTGTCTGTGACTCTGGCCTCAATGCACTGTACACCTATTTCTACAATATTGTCAATGAGTTTAGACTGCTGTTCAAAGTTTGGCGTCATTAATATTATATGTAAATTATTCAGCAAGGACATATTACATTTATAAAATGTGATATTAGAGACATTTAGAATGTTACAGAATTTCTACACTGAAGAAAAGAGCTGCTGCCTTAAATTAAGTACAATCAACTTCGATGTTTAAGTCATTTCAACTTAAATTACATGAAACTGACTTTGAAACTGCTAAAAATTAGCTGACTATGCATGAAATTGCTAAAAATTAGCTGAATCTTTTATCATTTATAAAAAGGGGCATATTGGGCATATCACTTGCCCAATGTAATAGCAATTGTTGTCATTACTAATTGGTCATATAATTTTTTTGCAGTGTATATATCAAATAAGTGCTATTCTTTTGACCTTTATGTTCGTCAATGGATGCTTAAAAGAAATGAGTCATGGTTTCCACAAAATTAGCAGCAGAACTATTTTCCACAACAAATTGCTTGAACACCATATCATCAAATTAGAATGATTTCTATAGGATCATGGTGAGCATAAAATGTTTTTGAATGGTAGTGCATGTCATAGACATCATTAATAGTGGAATTTCTTCAATAAACTGTAGTTTGGCTGCCAGTGGTTCTTGTGCTGCAAAGAACATTTTTAACAAGTACACACACTAGCTGTTTTGCATCAACAGTCTATAAAATCACCTGCTCTATGACAGAGCCAGGCTTACATTACTTCTCTTAGCCACATCATACATGTCCTATTGCTGTGATGACGTGACATTACACCGATTTAGCGGTCAGTGGACAATTGCTTAGTACTGAAAACCTGTTTAGTGGACAGAGAATCATCAAAGAACCTGTCTGCAACATTGCAAGTGAGGGTCTTATTCTGTATTCTATCAGTGGGTTAGCAGCATCACCACCGACATCAGGTAAAGCAGAAGAGAGTGGAACTGCAAAACAAGGCGCATGTTATCAGGTTTATGCACGCAGTAGGAACACAGAACTCAACTATTCAAATGACTGATCTTTATCTGATGTTTCCCTTTTAGAAATGTGGTTGATAATTCAAAAAAAAAAGAGGATGTTAGAGGTTTATGGTAGTCCGTTTTCAAAAAAAAAAAAAGTAGAGAATCTTTACTTTTTTTTTTTTTTGTAGCAATGTGCAATATTAAGATATTTACTTAAAAAAGGCTGAATTAACATTTAAATCTTATATTTATCCACGCAGACCGGTTCAATTTAAATCATAACCTGGTCTAATGACAAAAGCACTTAATGCAAGACATTTTTTCATTTTAACAGACATGCTCTGCTTTTTTGCATTTACCTGTTTAGCAGAATGAGAGAGGCTATGTAAACCGATCACCAACATCTTTTGCATAATCCTGATATCTGATGTCTGTAGTTCCAAGGTATGGTAGGACACAAGGCAGCGACTGAACGAAGTCTTGTTAAAATTCTTCTCTACTGATGGCCAGCACATACAGAAATCTATAATTTAGCTGGTGTACTCTAACATTAAAACAAATTGGGGTCAGTAAGATTTTTTTTAAAGAAATAAATACTTTATTTCAGTAAGGATTCTTTAAATTGATCAAAAGTTGTAGTAAAGACAATTAAAATCTTTCAAAATATTTCTATTTTACATAAACGCTCTTCTTTTAAACTTTCGATTCACCGAAGAATCCTGAATTTTCTTTTTTTATCAGTTTCCACAAAAATGTTGAGCAGCACAACTGTTTTCAACATTGATGGTAATAAGAAATTTTTCTTGAGCACCAAATTAGCATATTCGAATGATTTCTATGGATCATGTGACACTGAAAACTGGTGTAGTTATGTTGCTGAAAATTCAGCTGTGACATCACAGGAATATGTATTAAAATAGAAAACATCCACCCATTAGCCTGTCCATCCATCCAGGCATCTGAACAGATGGCTTGTAAATACTAAACAATTCTAAAATTTCGCAATATTTGTGTTTTATTGAATTTTTCATCAGTTTTAATGTAGCCTTTTACAGACCCCAAACTTTTGGACAGTACTAGTGTATATCCAGATTAAACAGTAGCTCAATTCAAGTGTTCAATTTAGCAATTGCTAAATTCTATTATGCACCCTCAAAATGATTTCGCCATTGAATCTGTTTATAGTAGTTTGGAGTTTGTGTTACACTACTGAATTAATTATTTTGGCCTTGAATTGAGATTTGGAAAGCCAAACCCATTGAGTCTCTGAGGGAAATGCCATAACAACAGCAAATAGTCCAAGCATGATGGAACAAAAACAGAAAATCCTGCCAAAGGAAGATGTAAGATGGCTTATGTGTTTCACAATATTGTTTCCAAAGAGACGATTTTTTTCAAGCATTCCTGCAGTACTGTATTACATTAGTCAGTTATTGTTAAATGTGTTTGTTTGTGCATGCGTGTATGTGATTAATTTCTTTGGCCAGGAACAAGCAAAAACATTTATGTCTTTGTATGTTGTTCCTGTTTTGATCATCTTCATACAATTGCACAACTGGAAAAGTTAAAATTTGCGTTCTACTGCCACCTAGTGGTCACATGACACAACAGTTATACATTCATGCATTCCTAGTGAATAATAAAAAAGAAAGAACAGAATAAATCCTGAAATGTAGTCCCTGTGGAAAAGCAATCACTTGTCATTAATGCTGTTCCTAAACCTCTGGGGCCGATATCAGTAACGTTTCAGTTAATTAATCTTTTTTCTCGTTTTTATTTATATATCACATTCATATTAGCATGAAAGATAAAATTAAACACAAAAAGATAAACTAAAAAATAAAGACTGAAAATAAAGAATAAAGATATATCCAAATTTTGCTTGACCGCTAAATAAATGCTGTCGCGCCATCTAGCTGTCTACCGTCTACTATAGGCTATAACGCACAGCTGGACATGATTTTATGAATTTGTGATTTAATAACTAAACTAAAGCAAGATAAATATAGTTTACTCATAAAACACAACAAAAAAAACCCAAAGCTTAGCTTCAATAATTCTTTAAATAGGCCAACTTTAAACTAATGCAGACAGTCGCACGACAGCTTGCATGACTGAATAGAAATGTGTTTATTTCTTAAAATACGTTAATACGATGATTATTGATGTGTAGGCTAACTGACACAAACTGAAAATTGCATTTCTAACGAATCAGTGGACTTAATAAATTAATTGCATGGTTTGTCAAGACTAAATAATACTAATAGATTAAAATATTACAAAAATATATTTTTTACATTTTTCAGGCATATGTCAAGACATATATCATTATCAAGTCATTATCTGCCACACTGCATGTGTCCAAAACAGTAATTAATATATATATATATATATATATATATATATATATAAAAAATATATTAAAATATATTAAATCATTAACTATAAAAAAATAATAATAATAATTCCACATGAGTTGAATCCGCAATATGACTGTCATGTTTACATTATAAAGTGAAACGCAATTTAAATCATCTTTGAAAGCAATGGGATCCTGGTGTTTGCAACCACAATGAGCATTTGCATAATTTAAGCGGCACCTCTTACAAGTGTCAAAATAAAGGTCTCCAGACTTCGATCAGACTGTAGTTTCTCTTGAATTATTCCCGTTCAATGTCAATGTTCACTTATTATTCTGACATGTTTGGCATAGTTTGTATCCCCTGCCGAAGGCCTAATGAGAGCTGCTAGCCGGCTAATGAGATTCGGTTGGACACACACCACACGCACACACACACACACACGTCTGGTTTACTATCTTTGTGAGGACTCTCCATAGATGTAATGGTTTTTATACTGTACACACTGTACATTTTATCCATCACAGGAAGCATTCTGCATTTTTACATTTAAAATAAATAAATAAATAAAATCTGTATGATTTATAAGTGTGTTTACCCAGTCACAGAGTCCCCCTAAGTTTGTGTGCATTCAGGTTTAAGTCCCCACCGGGACAGAAAAACATGTACACACATGCACACTCACGCACACACGTCTCTCACGCAGCGATGCTATCTTCAGCTCCAGGTTTCCCTGGAAATGGATTGTGTTTTTTTTTTTCTCCTTCACATTGATTTTACTATAACAAGCCTGACTCGTCTAGACTACCTAAAAGAATAAGCAAAACTGGCAGAATAAAGACATCTTTTATTAAGTATGTTGGTATTTTAGCAGTGGGGGTGAGTAATGGTCTCTTGTGGCTTGAGTCCAGTACCAACCATTTCCTCTTTTCCTTTAATGTTATCTCCACCCTCACTCAGGAATGCTGGTGGAAATGAGGAACCCTGAAATGTTTTTTTTTTTTTTTTTGGCATGAAGCTCATTACTTTTGGAGCAAATGCCTTAAGAACTTTACTGGAACCATGATAGGTTTGTGCTTACATCACTTAATCATATGATTTCACATGGTTGTCTCTAGCCTTATTGTTATACTGACAACAGTATAGAGTCCAACCAAGTGACTGACCCAGCTCAGGTTTAAGCTATTATGAATGGGCCATTAACTTCTGCCTCTGTGAGTATGAGTAACCTGGACGCTTGTGGAAGCTTTCATCTGCAGGGAAGGGGCAAATTTATGTGTTTTAAAGCAGTTGTGGTTCACTTTACTGCCTTTCTGCTGAAAGCACTGCATGGTGGTTGATTTTAGATCAATGGTGCATTTATCTCTGTTTGTTCTCCCACAGCTGGACGACCCTTCGGTGTTCCCGGCGGTGATCGTGGAACAGGTGCCTGCTGCCGACCTCATGCAGGTGTACTCTGGACTCGAGGCAGATGAGGTGACTAATGGCATTATGGTGGATGCCATTCAGGATGTGGTGGAAGAGAACATCATGGGAGATGTAGGGCTGTCTGGTGAGTCCAATAAGTAATCACAATTATAGATCCCAGTAAAAAAAATCCCAGTATTCCTCACACCCGAAGCAGTCCACAACACGATTTTTTTTATGTTTTTGAAAGTCTTTGAAATCTCTTTTACTCACCAGGGCTGCATTTATTTAAATAAAATGCAGTAAAAACAGTTACATTGTAAAATATTATTACAATATAAGATAACTGTTTTCTATTTGAATATATTTTAAAATGTATTGTTTCCCTGAGATGGCAAAGCTGGATTTTCAGTGGTCATTGTTTCTTTATATATATATATATAAAGACTGGAACAATATATATATATATATATATATATATATATTATCAATGTTGAAAACATTTGTGCTGCTTAAGGGATAGTTCTCCCAAAAATGAAAATTAAGTCATTAATTACTCACCCCCATGCTGTACCAACCCCGTAATACCTTTGTTCGTCTTCGGAACACAAATGAAGATATTTTTGATTAAATTTGAGAGGTGGATCACAGGCTGCCTAAGGGATCGAAACTTGACGGCCCAGAAAGTCATTGAAGAAAATGTTTAAATATTCCAGTTCAAGAGATTTCCATGACACATGTGCGAAAATTGAACTGAAGTAGTTGAAGACAGATCGCAATTCTCACGCATGCGTCGTGGAAATCTCTTGAACTCTCGTCTCAGGCCTACAAGGAAGAAAAGCAGTAGTCGAATAAAGTCGTTATTTTTGTTTGTTTTTCGCACAAAAAGTATTCGTGTCTCTTGATAAACTTAGTGTAGTCACATGAAATATTTAAACATTTTCTTCATTGACTTTCTGGGCTGTCAAGTTTCAATCCCTTAGGCCTAGGGTGCCTATGTGGTAGTGATACAACTCTCAAATTTAATCAAAAATATCTTCATTTTTGTTCCGAAGATGAATGAATGTCTTATGGGGTTGGTACAGCATGGGGGTGAGTAATTAATGACTTAATTTTCATTTTTGGGTGAACTAACCCTTTAATACAGGTATTGTTGTGGAAACCATGATACAATTTTGTCAGAATTCTTTGATGAAAGTTAAAAAGAACAGTATGTTTTTGAAATAAAAATCTTTCGAAGCATTTATGTCCCTTTTGATAAGTTTTATGCATCCTTGCTGAAAGTATTCATAGCATTCATTTATTTTACAAATCTTTCTGTCAACATACTTTTGAACTATGTAGTGTGTTCTTATTTAATATATATATATTGTCATTTAACTCGCAATAAATAAACAAAAACTTATTACACCTTTGTATGCGACTATATAGAAAAACATCAAAACCATAATGGACAGCGTGACAAATCACCTTTATCTGTTTGTTCTTTAAATATCCAGGAAAACTACTCTGAAACACTTTTAAGTGAAATAGCGAAAGCCAAAGTTAATGTTTGTCAAGTGATGTAAATGTTTTATCCACAGTAGAGACCTCCGTCTCAGGCGGAGAGGACAACATGGAGACCATCGAGGCGGCTGAGGCCCTGCTGAACATGGAATCTCCAAATAACATCCTGGACGAGAAACGCATGAGTATGTGATGACTCACTGTCAGTTTACATGGTCCTTTTTTTATTTTTTTATAAATGAGTATGGGAAGACCTCTTAAGGTCACTTGGCACACATACTGATACTGTTTCTCATTTCAGTTCTGTCTGTGAATGTTTAAGCAAACAAGCGTTCTAATACTTGACCTCTGCCCTTCTGTAGTTCACACATATGGGACTATGCTGGAATCAGACCTGACCTACATTTCCCTGCGTCCAGAGCAGCTCTCAAACGGCTGCATGGATTGTCCCCTGGATGAGGAGACGTCCTCTATGGACGAGATCCCTCAAAAGAACCTTTCCAAGCCTGTCAGGAAAACCAAAGGTACCACAATCCTCCAGTAGAAGGCAGTGTACACCCTTTTTTGCGGCATTATATTAAAAACTGAAGATGGGACCAAAGAATGAAAGATTGTTCAAAAAACAACCAAATACATCTGATTTCTTTTTATTATTATTATTTTGAATTGGTTGACTTATATTTAGTTGATCTGATGGTCTGGGAGGTAATTATTTTCTTGCAATCATCCTGCAGTGCGCAAACCAAGACCAGTGCGGCCCTGTTCTCCCATCACCAATCCAACTCTCCCGCTTAAGAAGAAGAGCAAAGAGGGCAAAGGTAGGCATGATCTCTGATCACCGCTTGGTAGTAAAAGAGAAAAGGTCGAGGCCATCGCTTTTCTCTCTCCTGAATGCATCACGAGTCGCTCTTTCTGCCAGAGAGAGGCAGTGTTGCGGCTGCTTAATTGATGAGGTGCTCTCAAAGTGCTTCGTTTGTGAGGGAACTAAAAGTGATAGCAAGCTGGAGGGCACATCGATGCTGTCCTGATAGAGGCCACTTATGCATGCGCCCCATTCCCAGCTCAGAGAGGAGGCTGGCCGCATACATATACATCACCTTGACACGCCGGCCTGTTCTCTCTATGGCTCTCGCACTGTTTTTAACCACTTCTGGCCAAAGCACATGACAAACAAGAATAATCTAGTGCCAGGCCCCTCTAATTAATTTCCAGCCCAGCGTAAGGCTACCATGAAGGGAGAATTGATTTATTAAGGTTGTGAGAAAGAATACAATAATTGCACCTCTGCCAGTTCTGCTGGTTAAATAAGACCTGTGGATTCACATGTGAAATATGAAAGTTGTTAAAGCTTTTTTTTATAAGTGTAAACTTTTAATGAGTCATCAGAGAAATATAAAAGACCCTTATTCTTGTAGGTAACACTATCTACCTGTGGGAGTTCCTCCTGGCCTTGCTGCAAGACAAAAACACCTGTCCCAAATACATCAAATGGACGCAGAGGGAGAAAGGCATTTTTAAGCTGGTGGACTCCAAGGCCGTCTCCAAGTTGTGGGGCAAACACAAAAACAAGCCTGATATGAACTACGAAACCATGGGCAGAGCGCTCAGGTGAGCCAATGGTTACAAACACTTCACCCAAAGAGACCAATCATGCCAGAGGAATTGCTTTTCCTGACCTCCTGCTTCCTCTTGCTCTTTTTCAGGTACTATTACCAGAGGGGTATTCTGGCCAAGGTTGAAGGACAGAGGCTTGTTTACCAGTTTAAGGAGATGCCCTCAGATCTGGTTATTATTGATGAGGATGATAGCCAAGGGGACGACGGCAGCTCTGGCTATGGAGGGCACAGGTCTGCTTCTCACGGACGGGCAGTAGGCCGCGGTTCTTCGCGTGCGCAGGGGAAGAGTGCGCAGTTGAAGTCCTTGAAACGAGAGATGAGTCCCGGTCTGAACAGCAATGGAAAACAAGCAGAACAGATGCTGCAGACGGTCCATGTTCTGCAGCCAAATCAAGGGGCTGCTGTCCCAGCACCTACACACTCCTTAAGGTGAGTTTGTGTGTGTGTACAAATTCATGAACAGACAACCTCACACAAGTGAAAGTTAAAAAAAAAACTATTATGCACAGTATTTTCCTAAATCTAAAATGTTGCCTTGTTATTTTTGCTGCCTACATAGGTTCCTACCTTCTTAGGAAACAGCATCTAAACCAAAATGTACATAAGTGATCATTTGTAACACTTTTCCTAGATGGCAACATGAATTACAGAGCCTTGTACATGACATGCAGGGGGGAAAAAACAAGATATATTGAAAACAAGTTAAGAATTTGTTCTCTCATTTTAGTTAAACCATGTTGCCATTTAACTAATTAGTATATAGACGAATCCGACGAGCGTTCTTGTGTAGGCTGCCATCTTGTGGCGACGCCATTACTGAGCTGTTACACCGGCATAGACATATGCACCGGTATGTAAACAAACCTCGGAGATAAGGTGATAACGCACCCTTGATGACAGCTACAGCCAGGCAGACTTGTTGGGTTGATGATGTTAGACATTGGCCTCCAGTCACAGATGAAGGTACAAACGATCTTACAGATTATTTATGAAAATAGCTTGGCAAGCAAGCTAGGCTAACGTTTGCTACCGAGGAAACTAAAAAAAAGATCTGTCCATTTGGCAACAATAAATAAATAAATGAAATCAAATAAACAAATTCATGTTTTTCATTTGTGTCCATTATTTATCTAATTTTTACATTGCAACGGGCATGGGTAAGGTAACGTTACAGCTAGAAAGTATACATAATATCGACCAACTACTGTTTTTAAACCATGGAAAGAGGTCAATATAACAGCAGGAGAACAATTATGTCACATAACGTTACATTCAGCTCAGGAAAGCCATTTAATGACCATAGCATGTAAATTGAATAGAAAAAATAACAAGAGAGGAGATTTTGCTGATCACTATATCACACATTTATTATATTTTTTTACTTATGTCATTAAATAATTGTTATTATACGCGAATGTCCGCGTCTTGTACTCGCCCAGGAAATCTGTGTTTACCGTACGGCTCCAGACAGTGGCAGTCGACCCGGGGTATTCACAGTGTTTTCTCTTCAAAATTGAAATTTTACTGCCACCATTGAAACAATTTATAACAGAAACTGTTTACCCACTCGACATTATACAAGGGCTAACGTTGTAACGTTAGTGTCAGTCGTAAATCTCGAGCTGTTTATTCCAGTGGACGCAAGTTGCAACTAAAACAATAGGAGGCAATGGCGCAACGCTACCCAGCAACAGCTCAGTAATGGCGCCCGCTTACTTCCGGTAGTTTCGCCGGATTCGTCTATTGTGACCACGTTTTAACTAAAATGAAGTATTAGTAGCCTACGTGGTTATCGTGGTTTTCCTAAATTAAAACGAGAGAATGAATTAGTAAAGCAAAGCCAGAATTTATCTAAAATGACAAACTAAAGATGTGTGGCCTCAAAATATAGTTCTTTTTTTTTTCATATTTCATGTTAATTCTCTTTTCATTTATAGCTGCTATATTGAGCATTACACTTTCTCAATTTAGTAATCTATAATAATAAAGTGTTCTTTCTTTGCAACCCCATGCCCCCCCTCTCTCTCTCAGGACTATAAATATGCCAGGGTCAGTTCCCATGGTCCTCACATCAGGAGCTCACGGAGAAGGTTCAGTCACCCTGCAGACCCTTCCGCTGTCCTCTGTTCTGGCCAATGGGGATTCCTCCACTCATACCTCACCGCCTCGGGTCATTCTCCACACTGTGCCTTCTTCCAGCCCCGGGGGTAAAGATGTGCTCACCATCCAGACCGCCTCTCTGACGACAGACAGCATTCAGCACCAGCAGCTCCTCATGTCCACTCTGAGCTCATCCGGTGGAGGGGTCACCACATCACAGCAAGCCGGGTCTCTTAACGGCATCACCCGCTTGGTCACCCTCAATGCCAACGGGCAGCCCGTAGTGGCCCAGCAGCCCGGAACAGTCATCGCCACTGTCTTGAAGCCCAGTGAACTTCAAAACCTGCAGGTGAAGGAGGAGATCCTAGACCCACATTACCTCCAATCTCTGGTCAACAGCAACCCTAGCCTGGCCTCATTCTGCAAAGAGGAGTTCGAGGATGGAGTGCCGGAGCTGAGCTACAGAACTGTGATCATCAACAGTGCAGGACACGAACTGGGCCAGACCCTCAACGGACACTCAGACATGAGCTCGCAGCTGGCCAGCAGCCCCAGTGAAGGCCTCACCCCTGTGGAGGAGCTGGAAGTGAGGGGACAAGTGGCCCTGCATCCAGAACCTGAGGACAAAGAGCTGTCGGAGGTCTCTCAAGGTCTGCAGGAACTGCCCGTCACCATGCAGATAGCCTCCTCCCACTTCATCCAGGTAAAAGCGGAACCGGCTGAGACCTAAATTATCGGCCAGGGGAAGGAGCGGAATGTGGACACAATCAACCAACAAATGAGAAAAAAAAAACAATACAGGATTTTTTTCAGTGGAGCAGATGATTTGTAATTTATTGCTCTTGATTGTTTAGAATGGGCGTTTACCCCGAGGACTTGTTTACTCAGTTATTGTGATATTGTGCCTAAATTTTAACCTTAAGGGATACCGATCATGATGTCATGATGAAAGCTCTTTGGTTTACTCTCCGTCACCTCCAAACTCCCAACAGGAGAGAAGCCATTCTCCAACCAGGGATATTCCCACCGTATGTGCCAGTCGAGATGTTTCTGTCTCTTCTCGTCTCCACAGACAAATCCAAAGACTTGATCCTACAGAGGGACCAAAGGAAGAGTTGGTGGGAAGCCAAAATGAAACCAACAACACACCATTGACTTTAGGATTAAAATGCACACTCGCAGTTGCTTGGGACGTACAAGATGGAGACTATTTTTTTGTTTTTTTTCGTATGTAGCCATCTCAGTGGACTTCAAAAGGATGCCTATTGGAATAAGACTGAAAGAGTGCCTAGGTGGTTAATGCTTTGTTGTGGATGTGATGTTTTGAAGGGGAAGATTGTATGATTCGCTCTGTTTTTAATACAGAATTATGACATTATCTCACCCCCTTCATACCGGCAGAACAGACGAGGTTATTTTTTTCACAAAAATTTAATGGAAATGGGCATTGTCTGTCCAAGGAGACAGATCTAGTAGACCTTGTTTGTATATAGTAAAAGACTAAAGAATATAGTGACGAATTCCAAAATCATCTGCTTAAGTATTTCCCCATTATAATCTTGTTCATATGAAATGGCACACAGTATATATAAATATACATATATATATATATACACACACATATATATAAAAATACAACTGAGATTCAATTTATGGCCACAAATTTATTTATTTTCTAAATTTCTAAATTCTGTGTAAAAAGTCTTTTTTAAACAAATGCAAATATGAGGGAAAATATGCAGTATGTAGGGCTAATCTTACCCATAAGAATCCAGTATGTGTGCTTATTGCGAGCTGTATTTTTCCAATTTAAAGCATTCCATGTAATCTTGCAAACCTTTCATATTTTATCTATTTTTCAATATAAGGGTATCCGAACGTAGCTTTATGAGATTGAGCTATCATGCTGTTCTTATTCACTGTGATGTGTTTAAAGCCATTTTTACAGAGCATACGTGCTATAAATGCGATGTCCTTTGGTTTTCTGCCTTTACGCTGTCATACTTTTACCCTGTATGAACCACATATCGTTCGACTGATGCCTTAAATGTCTGTTTTTCAGATCACAGATTGTCTCAGACAAAGCTGGTGTGGTCTGTGACATTTTAGGTCGATTTTTAAAATGTATTTATTTGTGGCAGGTGTAGTCCGTGGCCTCCATTCTTTTTTCACCTCATTTATATCCAATGAATCCAGAGCAGAGTCTCTTAATAGCAGCTGCTCCACAAGTAAATCTCCAATAAATTTGTGCTAAATTGGAAGAAGTGACTGAAGTTGTTGAGGACCGGGCTCCCTGAAGGCAAGACGCTGATCTTAGGAATCAGGCCTGTGCCTCTAATTCTGTTTGACTAACACCAGAGTTCTGGTGCTGCTCTGACAATCGTGGCTACAGCTTGTATTATGCAAGATTACGTCAATAAGACAATCGGTCTTCAGATTTGGTCTTGTTTACCGTAGGCTTTACGCTTTGTAGTTTTGGGGTAAAGGTATGCCAGCCAGTGCTCTCCCTGTAATTTCAGCTTGCCTTTTCTTGGGGCTTTCCTATTTTTCCAATTGTCTTTTAGTATACTAGATTTTGTTTTTCTAAAAAAAAAAAAAAGAGAACCAAAAGAGAATAAATATAATAAAAACCAATTTTGCCTTAATATAAACGTGTGATCTGTTACCTTTTTGCTGTGGAAATTTAATCTCAAGATCACAGATTGACTCGGGTACTGGTTAATCAACACAAAGCCCATAAGGCAGATGCTCTCATTGTTCCAACATAATAAAACAAGTATACCTCCCGGCGCATCTCCTCAAGCGTTACTTCTGTTAACGTGAATTAACAGAGGTCAGATACACTCCCAGGTATCTCGCACATTTTGCTATGAAACGAGGCTGCTATGGGGAGCTCTGTTTCCAGCCATATGTGCTCTTATTCAGCTTGTCTGCTCCTTCTGGAGATTACAGAGCGACGCGGCTACTTCGGCAAGGACGGTGTGAATGCAATCTGTTAACTACAGTACAGGAAGCAAAGCGCCTACGAATTATTGGCATGTGAAGCTAAACGATGCCTTTGTTTGAGTGGGTGAAAAAAAGAGAATTAGTGTTTTACATGAAAAAAAAAATTGTCATAAAAAATTTCTGTTCCTGATTCCATTTCAAACTCTAAAATTCTCTACAGGTCTATGGCATGGATTGCATATTAGACTCCATTGCTTTTATGGTGCCTTGCCCTTTTTAGAGCTTGACAGCCAGTGGTCATTATGAACTATCATGTAGAAAAGAGCTGCTTGGAGAAGATTCTTCAAAATTGTCAAGTTATTTAAATTATGGAATTTGTTTAACATATCCACACTATCCACCACAATTAACATTTTTTTTTCTGCTGTCTTGTGGACAAATATTTTGGAACAACTAACACTGGCTGCAAGAGAACACAAAACGGTTTCACTCCCTCAGCTCTTTGTGTGCCGGACTTTCTGTGAGGAAAGAAATGGTTGTTAGTTTGATTACTCGGTGGCATGGGTTTGGGGAGGCTTTCTGTGATCTTATTCTGTGAGGTGTGTGTGTGTGTGTGCGCGCACACGGCAATGTGTGTCTGCTGATGGAGCCATCTGGCAGGTGGTACATGCTGAGACTCTTACCCCCAAGTCTGCTCCAGATTACCCAGCACTCTGAACCCTACAGGCAACACTGAAAAATAAAACAATAACATACAGACAAAACACAATATCAAAGCTGTTAAATGTAACTGTAGTATGGACGGAGCAAAATGGCAACCGAAAGTGGTTGTTAAAAGCATTAGGAGAGCGTTAACGTGTCCTGTGAAAATGGGAAGATATTTTATCACACCACTACAAATGTTACTTGAATTGGAGATAATATGCTTAGAGCTATGAACTTTTCCATTTCCAATGTAAAGTCTTTAGGTTTGAATTCAAATAAAGAGGGAGGGGTGACCAAATTATTTAGTACAGCGAAATTGTCTAAGGTTGGGTATTTTTTAAAGGCAATTTATATATAGGAGGTTTTCATAATGGGGCCGTGTCTATAACCTATATTATATCTATAGCATTTTAAGTGTTAATTATCAAACCATTGTTTTGGTTAACCCCCTCTTTTTAGCCTTTTAGGTGCTGTAACTGGTCATCATTTCAGGTTTTTCACCGTTTCATTCCCCTTTTTGCAGATCACATTAGTGCGACAAATACATTTTAAAGTAAAATAATGCTTTTTTTATTCCCTCAGTTCATAACGTAATAACTGGATGTATAATAATAATTATCCAAGAATAAAAAAATGTTGTTTAACATAAAGATGAAGTACTGCATGTTATGCTATACAGCAAACACATGTAGCTGTTTGACATGTCATGTCGACTCCCCTTGGTAGTCATGCAGCATTAAAAAAAGACTAAACAGGATAGCTTGCAGTGATCGGTATTTCACTTCTGAATACCATAGCCTACATGATCTATGACTAATCATAAGCTTCTCAACCAAAATATCCTTGTATAACAAAAAAAAAAAGAAGATTGAAATTAAAGCTGAATTTCTAGACAGCTGTGGTTCACCAGTGTCAAACCACGTCTTTACATCAACACAGCTGCACAAAATCAGCTCAAGGAACAATCTATTTTTAAATCAAGACGACAAGTAGCTGGGGGCCAATGACATGCTTGAAGAGAGCGAGTGTTTATTGCATCACAGTGTCTCTAGTGAGGAGTGGTGGGACGGCTGAGGGATGGCGGTCATTAGAAATGTGCCTCCAGTCAGGGGCTGCGCTAAGATTACTCACACACCAGGATAATGCCACACACACACACACACAAACTAAACAATGCTTTCGTTCTGTTGCTGAACTAAAACTAATGACATCCACTTCAATTTGCGTCCATTGTTCATCACTTTATATTTAGCCTACATCAGTTTTTTTTTTTTTTTTTTTTTTTTTTTTTTTAAGCAGCAGTCTCTCAGCTGGAATTTATAGAAGCTAAAAGTAATACCGCTATTAAACTTCTCAACCTACATCCCTCAACTGCCTGAATTTATACAATTCTTCCATTGGCAACTGAAACATTAACCATGATTTTATATTTCCCTGGTCATAACCATATGGTTTGGCTGATTAGTATGGCCCCATTAGCCCTTGTTGGTTAGCTATCTACATTATGTGACTGAAAAACAGACCTTCCTCCATTGATGGCAATTCAGAAATATCTGGATATTCTTTTTTAATTAAATGTATGTAAAGATAGTAGCCTAACTCTTTTGCAGTCTACTATTGATGTGACATACAAACACCTAAAGGATTATTAGGGACACCATACTAAAGTGTTTGACCCCCTTTTGCCTCAGAACTGCCTTAATTTTACGTGGCATTTATTCAACAAGATGCTGAAAACATTCTTTAGAAATTGGCCCGTATGGATAGGATAGCATCTTGCAGTTGATGGAGATTTGTGGGATGCACATCTAAGGCACAAAGCTTTTGGATTGAGATCTGGTGACTGTGTAGACCATTTTAGTGCAGTGATCTCATTGTTATGAGAAACCAATTTGAAATGATTCAAGCTTTGTGACATGGTGCCTTATCCTGCTGGAAGTAGCCATCAGAGGATGAGTACATGGTGGCCTTAAAGGGATGGACATGGTCAGGAACAATGCTTGGGTAGGCCCTGGCATTTAAATGATGCCCAATTGGCACTGAGGGGCCTAGTGTGCCAAGAAAACATCCCTGACACCATTACACCACCACCACCAGCCTGCACAGTGGTAACAAGGATGGATCCATGTTCTCATTCTGTTTACGCCAAATTTTGACTCTACCATCTGAATGTCTCAACAGAAATTGAGACTCATCAGACCAGGCAACATTTTTCCAGTCTTCAACTATCCAATTTTGGTGAGCTCTTTGAAATTATAGACTCGTTTTCCTTTTGTAGTGAAGATGAGTGGTACCCGGTGGGGTCTTCTGCTGTTGTAGCCCATCCGCCTCAAGTTTGTGCATGTTGTGGCTTTACAAATGCTTTGCTGCATAAGTGATTATTATAGTCAAAGTTGCACTTCTATCAGCTTGAATCAGTCGGCACATTCTCCTTTGACCTCTAGCAACAGCAAGGCATTTTCACCTGCAGGACTGGATGTTTGTTCCCTTTTCACACCATTCTTTGTAAACCCTAGAAATGGTTGTGCGTGAAAATCCCAGTAACTGAGATTGTGAAATACTTAGACCAGCCCGTCTGGCACCAACAACCATGCCATGCTCAAAATTGCTTAAATCACCTTTCTTTCCCATTCTGACATTCAGTTTGGAGTTCAGAAGATTGTCTTGACCAGGACCACACCCCTAAATGCATTGAAGCAACTGCCATGTGATTGGTTGATAAGATAATTGAACAGGTGTTCCTAATAATCCTTTAGGTGCTATACGCCTTATTCACGGCAGCGCCATCTTTGATTTTTAATGAGAATGAAAGCGAGGCTGTGAGGGATAGACTTGCATGTCTTCAATGGGCTGTACTGTTATTTAATGTGTTTTCAGATTGTTCTGCTCATGAAACACTGGAAAAATATCTTTGCAAGAAATGTCAGTTGACAAAAAACTCCTGACAATGTAAGCTGTGGAAAATTGTAAGTAATCTAGCCGCTTTATTCAGCTTTTTACAGCGGATGCCATTGGAAACACGGTAAGTCTATCCCTCACAGCCTCACTTTCATACATGTCATGGCGCTGCTCTGAATAAGGTCTATAGGCCTATACATTCATCCATACAAACAAGCACAGCCTAAATGACTGAATATTTTAATATAATTATAAATTTAGTAATCCTAATATAATTACTGTTTTCTATTAAACATTCGTTACTAAATCTTCGTTACTAAATCTAAAATCTTATTCGTTACTAAAACGTACTAAACCAAAAACACATGATTAAATAATTACAATGCAGTATTCATAATTTTCTATAGGATAGACAGTCTGATTATTTTATTTTTTATGTTTTTGCCACTCAGATAATGACACCACAGACATGAAATGTTGAGTTTTACTGGGTTTTACCACAATCAAACTGTTGGTGATTAGGCTATTCAAATGGAGTGGAAAAGCTCAAGTTAGGCTAAAGGTAGGTTATAAATGAACTACACCACTGTCCCACGTTGCCATTACTAAGCTAATCAGACAACTCTTTACATTTTTATCTAAAAAGTTAGAAAAGTTTGTAAAAGCACAATTTGCATAACAAGGCTTTAAAAGTGGACTGAGTTTACCTTTTCGGCGTGATGACGTTTAATGACTAAACAGCCTCGCATTTAGCCACTAGTTATAAACCACCTTTTTCAAGACACACAACAGCTTAAAAAATCACGAGTGGGGTAATACTGATGTATTTTATGCCGTAGAATAAAATGTGTCCGAATCGTGAGAAACCAATGAGAAAACGTGAAAGTGCCTTTCACACTTTCCCATCAATGGGCTTTATGCCCAGCTGCACTACTTCCTGAACTTCCAACCCGATCTCACGACCAAGTCGTACGAATTCGACGAATGATTAAAAAGTGGCTAATTCGTAACAATTCATACGACCTCACTCGTACGAATTAATACGATTTTGCTAAATCGTACATATTTTACGAATTGGCCAATTCGTATGAATTCG